GAGTCCTGCCTGCAGTCCAGACCTGTCACCCACTCAAAACATTTGCCGCATTATGAAAAAAAAATAAAAATACAACAAATGAGCCCCCGAACTGTTGAGCAGCTGAAATCCTATATGAAGAAGAATGGGAAAACATTTCACTTTCAAAACTACAGCAGTGTCTCCTCAGTTCCCAAACGCTTACAGAGTGTTGTTAAAAGAAGAGGTGATGAAAAATTTCTCAGCTTCAACATTTGATATGTTGTCTTTGTAGTATTTTCCTTTAAAAATATGGTTTACATGAGTTACAGATCATTGCATTCTATTTTTATTTACATTCTGCACAGCGTCCCAACTTTTTTGGAAATGGGGTTGTACTTTATTGGAAACAGATAAACTAGGAAGTATTATATAATCATGTAACCATGAATTGCATGCAGTTTGATGACCTTGTTCCTTACACAGTTCACAGAAAAGTGTGTAGATGTGCTCTAGCAGAGCGAACTGTGATCACTCTCAGCTCTCAGAACTTTTTTCCTACATATTATCATGTTTTGCTTTAGTGTTTTTCTGTACAGATTATTTCCAATGATGTAGCCGAGTTGCCTCAGAAATATGTTCAGGCTGTGACAGCGGAAATATGAAAAAGTAACTCGAGTACTTAAGTCGTTTTTCAATAAACTACGTATTAACTCTTACGTGAGTAAATTAGTTTTTATTTACTAATACTTTTACTGGTACTTGAGTAAATTATCACAACAGTACTTGTAGTTATGTGGGGATTTCAGTGCTGTTTACACCCCTCCCTAAATGACAACAACAGGTCTATGCCACCTTAATGAAGACCTGCGTGCGGTTTGAGCGAGGTCAGAGATCTTTTGGTGATGTATTTTTCCAGAAGCAATTTGGGCTATTTGCATGACTATTGAGTTCAAGTGTTTGTTAGCAATTTCCAGTTCTCAACTGAAGAAGCAAAATCTGGAATCCAAACATGCCTCGGCTTCTATAGATCATATTCATGATATTATTATTCGTTGATATTATTCCTATAATTACAGTAGCAGAAACATATTTCTTGAGGCTAAAAAGAAACCAGTTTCTGCTTGTTTACCGTTAATTGATTTCGGAATCATCATATACGTGCATGCACCTTTGTACTGCTTACGCACATTAGGCACACTTTATCATGGTGCTTTAAGAATTATTACTAATTGTCAGATGATCGTTCACTGTGTTCTTTACAAAATAGCAGCTTTGTCCTCACTGACAACACGCAGGCTGATTTAGTGGTATATTTTATTTATATTTATTTATTTATCTATTCTTTTTTTAAATATATTTATCTATTTATTTATAAATCTATTCTTGGTTTATTACTTTCATATTCATGTAATTTTGTACATCAAAAAGGGAATTCTGGTCTGCACTCACAAAATGTGTATGTTCTTCAGATTCCCACCATGCGCACTGAATTCGGAAAAGAAGCTTTTAGTCATGCCGCACCGTCTGACTGGAATTTGTTACAGAAAGACTTAAAACTTCGGGAACATGTGTCACTGAATAACTTTTAAAAACATTCTTTAAACTGTAAAAGTGTTCTTACCTTTTCTGTGCGTTGTACACTCTTAAAAAAGTTCTTCTATTGTTACAAGCTTATCATCGTCACAATAGAACACTTTTTGGTGATTTATAGGACTATAGAACTGATAGTTTGTATATATATATAATTGTATATTGTGTTTTTATGCTACTATTCTGAGCTTTTGAGTGTTTCTTTTTAAGTAATATCCCAAGCTATCAGGCTGCTGTTGGTCGTAAGACTTATGACTTAGCCCTAGTTCTGAGAAACAGAGCTCTGTAAATGGAAAATAACATATCTAAATATTGAGCAACACTGTCATATAGCTGACTGATTTTCTCATAGTCATCCACAGAACCCACTAGGAGAATAAGCAGAAGTTATCCAATGCTCATAATAAAAGCTCTCCAGAAGAAGTGAAAGCCCGGAAGAAGCTAATAAACTGATTGTGAACTGAATTGCTGACTCTCTGCTTTAGCACGTCGCTAAGGCTCCCACACTGAGCAGATTAGAGTGGGGATTATGACATCCAGTAGGTCTAGACTCCAACCATTCCATAACTGAACATCTGCTTGAAGTCTTAGTTTACTCTGGCCCTGAAAGACTGTTTGCAGAAATCCGTAGGTTAGAATGTGCGTATGTGCCTTATGATAGGAATGTGATAGGAACTTGATTCTATGTCTTGGAACATTAGCAAAAATTAGCAAATTTAAGAGGGCTCTTTAAGAGTCTGGGTTATCAGGGACCCAGCTTCTTGTTCCTCAACTCACAACACATAGCAATAGAGCAAAAAGATGGACAATTTCAAGAACTACTGTTTTGTGGAACCGGTCACTGGTTTTCTCTGCACTGGAGAAAAACAATTTAGCCATGCAAAGAGCCTTTTATGCAGAGTGTTCATGGCTCTTAAATAACCAGTGCTGTATGTTAAAAAACCTGGAAGAATCATTTTTAAAAGGTGTACCAACTCCATTTTATAGCCCACCATTTACATTACTGCTAATTTTAAAATAGTATGTAAATCTTGAACAACACTGTTATTAGTAGGGCTGAATGATTTGGGGAATATATCTAATTGCGATTTTTCCAGCTAATATTGTGGCTGCAATTTAAATTGCAATTTTTTTTTATAAATTGAGATTCAGGCCTTATTTTTTTGGTCAATAAGACCATAATATGCACTTTTTTCTGGCTTGAGGCTTGACACCTGAATGTAGTGTGCCAAAGTGCCAGTAATCATGGTTGTGATGTCACAACACATGGAGGTTTGGTTGGCTCTGATTGGTCTAACTCATTTACAGACAGATCACAAGCTCTGGGTTATTAGGATAAATTTCCCGATTTAAAAACGATAGTTATTCAAGGGTTCTTTAGTAAAGACAATGGTTCTATATAGAACTATGAACACTCAAACTCATTGCCTGGAGAAATGGTTGTATATGGTTCTCTATAGCACCAAAAAGATTCTTCTATTGTAACAGGCTTGACAGTGTAACAGTGGCAGAACCCTTTTTGGTGCTATAAAGAACCATATACAACACGTTCTGCATTAATCTGGAGAACCATTTCACCATGCAGAGAACCCTTTAATCATGCAATGGTTCTTGGAGTGTTCATAGTCCTAGAACCATTGTCTAAAGTCTTTGTTAAGAACCTTGAAGAGTGTAGGCTATTATTTAAAAAGAAAAATTGCTCATGCAATTTGAAAATTGCACCCTCTCATATTGCAGTTTCAATATAAAAGCGATTAATCTTTCAGATCTAGTTATTGGCTAATTAATTTATAATAATTTATAATTGGTGACACTTTCCTTTTTTGTCTCATTGGATTCTGAAAAAAACATGGTACAACAGTAATGTGATTACTTTTTCCTGTAACAAAGTAGGATAATGCATCACAGTTTAGATGACATCACTCAGAACAACATACATGACGATAATGCATCAGTGGTCACCAACCCTCCTCCTGGAGATCAATCTTCCTGCTGGTTTTACCTCCAACCCAAATCTAACACCTGAACGCAAACATCAGTAGCTAATCAATGACTTCTGATGGCAATAATTGGATGTATTAGGTGGGGCTGATTGGGGAGCTAAAGTCTGCAGGAAGGTAGATCTCCCGGAGCAGGGCTGGTGACCACTGACATACATGATGATGGACTCAACATGATGACGATGATGGACTCAGGACTAGAGGTCTGCACTACCATGGATTCCCATGGGACCCGACAGAATATCTTGCAGGGCAGGACTAATTTTCAGTGTTGTTCGCAGGAGCGGGCGGGAAATCAGACCCAGGGAACTCAGAACAGGCTACACGTGCGAAGTGGCAGAACGTCCCAGATGCCGCACTGAAGTGCTGCGGTGTTAAGACTGTACAAAAACTTTAAAAGGTGATTTTTATGTACTTCATAGGGAAATACTCGTTAAACATTCCATGCTGCTGCAGAAGTGCAGGAAGTGCAGCAGAATTTCAAAGAGCTTTTCACTTCAGAATTTCAATGAGCTTTTCACTTCAGAATTTCAGAGCTTTTTACTTTTCAGAATTTCAGAGCTTTTTACTTTTCAGAATTTCAAAGAGATTTTCACTTCTCAGAATTTCAAAGAGCTTTTCACTTCTCAGAATTTCAAAGAGCTTTTCACTTTTCAGAATTTCAAAGAGCTTTTCACTTCTCAGAATTTCAAAGAGCTTTTCACTTCTCAGAATTTCAAAGAGGTTTTCACTTCCTCAGCCTTTGGAGGGTCAAAAGTTCCACATTTTGTGAACATCATGAATCATTTACGGATGACGAAATGACTCGTAAGAATGTCGGGTGGTGTTACGTAATGTAAGGTCTATGTGCTTATAGGTCTGTCTAGATGATTTTTACGCCACCTGCTGGTGACCTTTGGTTTGTATTTCTGTACTAGGTTTGTAGTTGGTTAAGCCTGTAATTAAATTAACAACCTCTTCAGATTTAATTAAATTTTATTCTTCGTGCTGCGTTTTTCATTTCTGAAAAGATCTCCCTTCTTTTATATCGCGGAACGATGTAGTTATAGCTTTGTTTTGTTTGGCCCCTTTCCTGCTCCTGGTGTTTTGGTTTGATTTAATAAAGTCAATTTATGTCCATATATAGTCACATTTATGTCCACATGCCTCCTGTCTTATGAATGTCATACTCACGTTTCCACCGTTCAATAGAACTAGCAGTTGAGTTCACGTGGGTGCCCACTTCAGCTCATGAGCATGTTTGGTATTGAGAATAATAACCCTAGTAATAACCAGTAATGACCCTGTGTTTGACAGCTGTCTGGCTCCACTTCACTTTGTTATTTGTTGAGTGCTGAGGGGTATTGGCCTTTTTATGGTTTACCTACCTACCTTTTATGGTTTCCAGACACTGTATTGTTATTCTGTCAGAGCATTGCCCTCTGTCACTTAGCTGTATTTAAGGAAACATGAACATTCTGTGATCTGTATTGCAACCTGCAACTGACAAGACACTCTCTTCTCAAAAGGACCTGCTACTCACAACTTTCTTGTATCTCGTATCTCTTGTAAGTGCCTCTTATCTCTTCTTATTTTCTTATATATATAAAACATAAATTTAGAAAAAATATTTTAGATTATTTTATAAAATGTTAAGTCTAATATCAGATGATGTTGTCGACATACAAACCACATAACAATAATAATACTTATAAACAACTTTATTTATCTAGCGGCTTTCATACATTCAAATACAGCTCAAAGTGCTTTACAAGGAGGAATTAAAATCAGCAATGGAGAAGAAACAAAAGAGAAGATAAAACCACTGGAAAACAACACAGTGGTTAAAAATAAAATGAAAGGAAAATAGAAATATAAATTCTAAAAATAAATCATGAAAAAAGGAACAATAATATAGACAAAAAATAAATAAAAAGATATAATAAATATAAAAGATAAAAAAAACTAATGAAATGGTAATTGTAGCATATTAATATCTTAAATAAAACAAACAAAATAATTCAAATAAATATTTGCTCAAAAGGTCAAATGGTGCAATAAATAAAAGCAGGAAACAAAATGTGTATAAAAATGTATTAAGCTGCTTTTCAAAGCTAATAGATACTTTAAAAACAGATACTTGATGTATGCCTTCTGGGAGGCAGTTCCACAGTTTGGGAGCATGAATGCTATAACTGCAGCCTCACCACGTCTGCAATTTTGTCACCCAGGAGTCTATGAAGGCCTTAACCCAGTCTTGGAGTGATGATGAGACAGGAAAGCTTAGAACTTGAAATGACCATTTAAAAGTCAGAGGCGTCGAATCGGGGGGTTTCCCACCACATCGTACATCTTTACGTATTAATGTGACACACACAGCCTCAAAAAGAAAGTCCGGCTTGATGTTTAGGCCTCAAATGATCTCAAAATCAACTTTATACTCATGAAGATATGATGATAATATCCACTAATTCACTCACATCCTCGGAAGATGCGTCCTTCACCAAGTTTAGACTGAACTCTCCTTGAATTCTCTTGTTCTATCCTGGGATTCATCCAATCAGCGAAGAGATCTGAAACACTATCCATGTTACAATTACACGTTTCCACCAGAGAGGTCTCCAAATCCTTAAAACTTACATCGTGCAACTTTACATTTCACAAACAATGCAGACTAACCTAAATTAAAGAAAATGAATTAAAAGTTTGAGGAAAATATTGCAAGTGCATATTTAAGTGAAATCATTTTAATCATCACTTCCTAAAATTAAGCAAATTATTACACAAAAGACTCTCTTTAAAATTGTTTACACATTGTTAGAAATAAGGTTCTGTGCAGGTGCAATTTTTGTTCATCAAGGTGCAAACAATATAAATGTATCCTCAAAGGTACATCAGTGGTTTTAAGGCCCCACTGTGTACCCAGGGCAAACAACCATATTAGTACCATTTCATGGCCTAATGTTTTTTAAATATAACAGTAAAATAAAAAACTGGTGTCGAGACATGTGTGGAGTCAATTCAATTTAAAAAATCCATCTGTAATTGAATATGGTACAATTATGATCCTTATCGAGGATCGAGGAAATCGTTATTACAATATTATCGTGATACTTGAGTCAGAATACGATATTGTGATTTTAAACATATTGTGACATTGTGATATATTGCACTTTATTACCTTTACCTGTTCTAGTTTGGAGAGCGTGAGACAACAGTCGCCAGTCCTCTGTGAGATAATGTGCTGTTATAGTCACATAGGAATCCACTGCCCTTGACGTCCATGCATCGGGCACTAATGCACTCAAAGGTTTCTCAAGTTTAAGCGTCACTTCTCTGTAGAGCGTGGGTACAGCTGTGTGAAAAACATTGCAACGGTGTTACATATGGGTTCGCCCTCGTTTTCCAAAATGCTGTATGGATGCAGATCTTTGCACATGAAGTAGGTGATGGATTATGCTATTATCTTAGCTCGCTCAGATTTGGAAGGTAGCTTAGTCAAGCTGATTTTTTTCAGTGGAGGTGATTTAATGTTGGCTTTGCCAACAACAAACCAAAAGTCAGCTTCTTATTCACCAGCCTGAGATGCCAGAATGTCACTGCTCCACCATTCAAGGTAGAATGGGAAAATTTAAATAAGAAGTGGGAGAATAAGGAGCTGATAATTCTAACAAGAAGCTGGAGAAAAGGAAGCCAACTTTAGTCTCGTTTGCCATCATCAGTTAATGCTATCTTTTGATGTTGGCCTGTGAGGTGAGCCCTTATGTTCGTAGTATTCCCTGAGTATTTTATATTCATATGACACACTCTCTAACCATCTGTGTATCAATACAATATTGCCATGCAAAATATCGCGTACCACCCCAGTGACAGTTTAGTGCCTTTTTTTGAGATTGTAAATTTTCTTTGCAGATGTACATTTTAATTTTTGTTTTCTGGTTTGTCTGTTTTCTTTAAGGGTCTACACTGAAAAGCACGAACATGTCACTGCACTATATGATTGGTGGTAAAGGAGGTAATGCTTTTGATTTCAATGGTATCGACAATGGATCCACACTACAGAAGATCTGGGTGTGGGTTGGCGGCTGGCAGATAAGAGGCATCAGGGTTTGGCTCACCGATGGCCGGTCCATGGAGTTTGGACAGCGTAATGGGAACTATTCAGAATTTAAATTTAATGATGGAGAACGTTTTGCTTCTCTCTCGCTATGGGGAAATGGAGCTGGAACACGACTGGGCGCCATCAAATTCAAGACAAGTCATGACCGGGAGTTCTTCGCGAAAATGACCGACTGGGGCCTGAAGACAGAATATCCCATCAATATTGGCTGTGGCATCTGCATAGGAGTCAAAGGAAGATCAGGTCACGACATCGATTGCTTAGGCTTCAGGTTCATCGACATCATCAAGTCTGCTGAGTTGACGAACGTGAGCTATCCCACGCTTACTGCGGTAAAACCCTGTGTGTCCATTGAGGAAATCAAATCCACGTCTTACCAAAACGAGTCCTCCATCATGCAAGAATACGAAATAAAAACTTCAAAAACCATCACCACTACGTCCTCCTGGTCGGTGACCAACAAGATGGAACACACCTTCAGCATTAAAGTGAAGGCAGGAATTCCAGGAATTGTGGAAGCATCGACCGGATACAGGTTTACAACAGGAACTGAAAGCACATATAGTTTGCAGAATTCTGAGGAAAAAGAAGAGGAGTTGTCTTTCTCTATCCAGGTTCCTCCAGGAAAAACATCAGATGTACGTATCACAATCAGCCGAGCCACAATGGATCTCCCTTACACGGGCACGGTGAAAATTACATGCCGTGACGGCAACGTTCTGCACTTTCAAACCAGCGGAACCTTCAGAGGCATCATGTACACCAATGCAAATGTTGTTGTGAAGGAATCCGCAGCGCAACTGCAGTAGGCAGTTTATTTTCTCTGTCCCTAAAAGGCATTTTCTCTGTCCCTAAAATGTGGTCCAGGGGGGCATATTACAGAAACTTCCTATCTTTTGTCCTAAGTTAAGATCTGACAAGGTCAAGATAAGTTTTCATAAATTAGGATAACAGAAGCAAATCATATCATAATAAAGGAGATCCTAAACTAAGTTACCCAATCGCTTGATTAATTTCATTATAAGTTGATAATCAATTATTATTTTTGTTACCAAGCAACAAACTACATGCACACAGCTGAAACGTAAACACATAATGTAACAGTGGTTAGTTAGCTTAAAGTTAGCTTACCATAAACATTTGTCAACTAAAATGTGATTACTTGGAAGAATATTGTGAGTGCGCCCCCTGCTGTTTAACATGGCATTGCAGCTCCCCAGTTTAAGTTTCCATTTATCAAAGCTTTAGCCAGCATGCCAGCCATGTTAACACTTTTCCTCCTGTTAAACGGCCACATGTCCAACTTGGTTTCCTCAATCACTGCCATTGCTGCAATATTTTGTTTTTCATGTTTTCATCAACATTAACACGCACAGATAATAAGAGGGAACGGTGGAGAACATGTCTGCAAAGTGTGGGGGTCTTTTTGAGCTGCAGATTTAGAATAAAAATGTTTTGCAATATGGGTAAACTGTAACAGCTCTTACTAATTATAGGAAGCTTGTCATGCTGCCCATCTCAGTTGCCTAAAAACAACATGGTGACTTTATTTTGAGTGGTCCTTTTTAGATAGGGTTAGGGTAAGATTAGGTTTTGAGTTGAGGTTAAGGTCAGGGTTAGGTTTAGGGCCAGGGTTAGGGTTAGGTTGTGGGTAAGGTTGGGTAAGGTTAGGTTTTACCTAATGGAACTAACATATTAACAACACATCTATTTAATGTAAGTAATGATTCAACAGAACATCTACTAGATATTTACTTCAATGTATTCAGATGCTGCTCTACTGCTACTTCGCTGATATGTTGTTAATATGTTACTGATAATCTGTTAAGAGTCTATTAATCATCTACAAAGGACCACTCCAAGTAAAGTGATACCAACAACATCCTTTTTTCAGCAGAACAGCTAACAGCAGAAACTTAAAACAGAAGTTAGGACACTGTTGGGGTTTATGCTGAAGTAAGGACAGTATTTAGGTCATTTTGTCACTTATCTGGAGTGGAATTAGGATGGTTGAATTTAGGAAGTGCTTTGCTCTAATAGCTTATGTTCTAAACTCAGTCCTGACTGAAGTTATCGTAGTGATGAAACAGAGAAGTAAAGATTTCAGAGTTGCGAAGTTTCTGTAATACATCCACAGGCTTGAAGCTTTTCTAATAATCTGTAAAACAGTCTTAGAAAAGAAACAATAAAGCAAATCATTTAAAATAATTAGCTTTTTCACAGTGCACATGATTAAACTTTTCACTTTTGCTAGCTTTACAAAAGTTTTTTGAGATAGTTGTTGCTACAGTATCCTTCTGATCTCCTGGTACTGTCAGAGGCTGCTTGTTTTAGGGTTGTACACGTGTTAGACTATCATTTTAGTGTCACGCCTCAATCCGGCCTGGGTGGAACTACAGCTGACTTGGCCGCCTCGGACTACGTTTCCCAGAACCCCTCGCTCCCTCACATGACTCTGGACTCCTATCACCTATCACCCTTCAGCCTCTCCAGACTCCTAATCATGTTCACCTGCTCCCACGTGTTTAATCTCTCTGTTTGCATCTGTTCATTGTGAAATTCATTGGAAAAATTCAAACATATAAAATACGCCATAACTTTTTTTGTTTGTTTGTTTGTTTTGTTTTATTTTTAACCCGATATATTACATTCAGCAAATAAACAGTAAGTGTGCATTAAAATCAGTAGAAGTGTGTTCTCTCTAGAGGGTACATTAACTTATTATTGCCTAGAAAATATACAAAACATAATTTGACTGGGGGTGCCCAAACTTTTGCATGTAACTGTACTAGTATTCAAAAGTTGGGAATCCCATTTCAAAATCTTGGGATCACTTTAAAAATACATCTTAAAAGGAAAGTTGCAAATATATGTATGAAATGATTCTATTGTGATGCTAATACTTTACAATTAATTAGTAGGAAGCTGTAAATAAAAATGCTGAATTGTTGGGTGTGTTTAGAATGATGAACAACACAGTGAGCAGTAAAAGATTCGAAGTGCTCTCATAAACAAACCGTTCTAATAAAATTCATATCCAGAGTATGTCATATTTGAATAGTGGTGGTCAAATCTTTAGGCAGATATCTTATGAGGAAAATGATAAATAATCTACAAATGAACAGTTACAGTATAGTATTTATCATTGTTATGATCTGGTCTAGGCTCAGGCTGTAACAGAGAATGAGAGTGGGCTCTCTCCCCAGACCTGCTGCCAGACCAACACCGGACACCACTGAAACCAAACACAAGATGGGTGATGGCATTAGGGATGAGCGTATGCCGAAATAACAAACAAAACTACTTATGATGACAAAAAACTAACTAAACATAGAAGCAAAATGAAACAAAAATACCATTTTTCTACTTTAAAAACAGAGGAACAAAACGAATGGCACTCGTCCCTGACCTCCCACATGTTCACAGAGAGTTTCACAGAATCTAACAAAGCTTTCATGAATTTTACACTGCAAAAAATGGTATCTTGTCAAGTAAAATTATCTCAAATATAGTCAATAAATCTGATATTTCTCCTGTTGGGATTGTTGTAAGCTTAATTTAAGATTATTGACCTCATTTCAAGACTAGATTCTAGATTTTTTACCTGTTTTAAGTAGTTTTATTGAGTAATATAATCTCACTATATTTGGCAGATTATTTTGCTTGTTTTAAGAAATGTGCTTGAAACCAGCAAAACTATCTGCCAGTACAGCGAGAATATTTTACTTAATAAAGTTACTTAAAACAAGTGAAAGATGTCTAGCTAAATAATTTTATCATAAGTGCACAACCATTTCAAAAAAGGGAAATATTAGATATTTCGACTAGAATTAAGATCATTTCACTTGACAAGATGCCATTTTTTGCAGTGTACAAGCAAAGCGAAGCGAAGAGTGGTGTGAAGACTGCAGGGCTGGTCTGGACAGGTGTTCTTCCAGGTCATATCAAAGGGGACAGAGTCCTGAACACCTCCTAGGTGGAAGCTTGGTGACCTTTTATACAGGAGGGCACATAAACAACAACGACGATAGGACAGCAAACACAAAGAAAGGCTATTATTATGACGGGGTGGTAACAATCATTTAGTAACTGTTCCCAAAAACCTTAAAATAGTGAATAAAACAACTTAAAACACCTGCAGGTGTACCTACAGCGTACAGTATTTCAAACCACTTATTATGCTTGAATAAAATGAAAGCAATAAGTGATACGACAAACCTTTGAACAATTGTGTAAGTCGGTATTTGGACATCTGGCAGATGAATAGAAGTTGGGTGAACATGTTAGGTTTAGGATTAGGTTTTGGGTTGAGGTTGAGATTAGGATTAGGATTAAGGCCAGAGTAAGGATAGGTTTTGCTTAATGGAAATAACTTTAAGTCTACTTCATGTAACATATCAACAATACCTCTAAGTAATGTATCAACAGAACATCTACAAGATATTTACTTCAGTGTATTCAGATGCTTCACTACTGCTACTTCACTGATGTTGTTGAAGTACAGTTACTGTACTGTTACTGTACTGTGACTAATACTCTGTTAAATTTAGAGTTTATCTAACTTATCCATATCCAAATTAAGTGTTACCGATCTGTTGCCTGTTTTACATTGGACTGATTAAAATTACATTACCACAACTAAAAGCTACAGACAGCATAGTAGTCCTAACAACCACCTGGAAGACCTGGTAGACACCAAAACTGTCCACATCAGATAAACAGCATTTAAAGCTTTCATCTTTAAGAGAGAGGAGAAAATCAAGCTGCTTCAGATCTGAAAACATCCACCACCATCTTGTAGATGTTCTGTTGATACATTACTTACATTAAGTAGATGTATTTGAAGGTGTGTCTATAGATTTCTTTGAGAAACTGTAAATGAGTCTCCTGAAAAGAATGAAAGCTGTAATAAAATGGTGGTCTCTGACTTTTGCACAATACTAAATGATATTTCAGAGAGAAAAACTTCACAGAAAAATCCAGGTCTGAGCTCCCATGAGTGTCGCTAATGGCGACAGTGGCAAGAAAAAACTATCTAAGAGCAAGAGAAAGAAACCTTGAGAGGAACCAAGACACAAAAGAGGAACCCATCCTCCTCCGGATAGCAAACAATAACGAAAGTGGTGACACTCATCAGAGTCCAATTTAGAATTACCAAAAACAATCCTTTTACAATCCTAAAATCAAAACAAATATTGCAAATAAATACAAATGTAACCAAAACTTTTCATTTCCAGGAAGTAAAGGCAGAACTTGTACTATTACTGAACTGTTAAAACTAACAGAACCTATGCCAAATCTGAAAAAGTACTAAAGAAATGTAAAAACTATAGTAAATTTGAACCTAGTTGGATAATTCAGGGAAATCATTTGTAGAAGATGTCCTTTTACACCATTTTTGTGCTCTATGAAGATGTGGTGATGAAGATGGGCTCACAGATTCCTCATGTGGGTTCTTGGCATTATTCAATGACATCTACTCATTCAGCCCTTAGGAGCACACTGGTCATGTGAGGGCAGTGTTGACTAAGTTGTTGAGACACAAACAATACATTAAGATCGACTGTCAGTTTCATCAGCATTCATTTTTATACTGCATCCTGTTTAAAAAATGCCAGGCTAATCTTCAAATCATCAAGCTAGTTTGATTTTTGCTGATATGTCAACAGAAGTTTAAACAAAACAACTGTATCGTGGCTTATTAGTAATAGAATGAGATTCTTAGTCACTCAGGTTATTCACTACATGTGACAAGCACCACTGCATAGTATTTATGTGATTTTTCTTACTTATTTTTGTACTGCACACATTTAGTATAATGTATTATATATCTTTACTTTTTCTATTTATGCATCTGTAAATAGCAATACTTTTGCTCTTGTTTTGGTCTTTACTGTACTGTGCTTCTATAATAGCCGACTTTCCCTCTGGGCTGAATAAAGTGATCTATGTATGCATCTATTGAGTGAGCAGTCAGATGTCTATTCATGACTTCCCAGATAGCAATCAATAATGCCTTTGATTCATTATTGATTTTTCATCACCAGGTTTAGGGAAAATACTTTGAAAAAGTAGTGGTGGCTGAAGATCAAATCAAATCAAAGCAAATCAAACCATGTTGTACTTTTATACAGGTGCAAGGTGAGTGAAAATGTAAATACAAAATACATTTAAAAAGAAGAAAAAAGAAATATATATACTTCCAATCTACAAGTATACAGTAATAAGTTATTAAATAAAACTATGAAATGTACTGTTGTACACATTTAAGGTAGATAAATAAATGAGATGCAGGGTACACAGGGGATAGAGTATGGATATAGAAATCTTCCATTGAAGGTGAGGTCAGAGTGAGTCTGTTGAGGCATGGATGAGGTGTGGATTGTCCATGGAGATCATGATGATGATGACTGACGCGGTGCAGTGACAGGCCTATAGATCGATGCACCAGCACTACTTCAGCAGCCTGATGGCCCAGGGGAGGAAACTGTCTAGGAACCGGCTGGTTCTGGATTTTATGCTTCTGTACCTTCTCACACTTGGCAGCTGTGACAACAGACAGTGGCTTGGATGGGTGGAGTCCTTTAGAATCCTCCTGGTTCTCCTCAGGCAGTGGCTGA